GGGGAGGGTCTGAATCCTGTTTCTCTCCACAGGCCGTCACCCTCTCATTTATGCTCCGCCTGCCACCCGCCCCCACAGGCCCCAGCCCAATTGCAACAGCCAGTCTCTGGCGCGATGCCCCAGGCTCTATCCAGGTAGAATCCAGCTCCAAACCCACAGGGCTCAAACCTCAGAGCCACAGGACTGGTGGTAGCCTCAGGGCTTCTATTTTCCTGGCAGGCCTGCGGCTGGAGTCGTGCAGTGAGACTGTGCCACGCTGGAGAACAGGCTCATGAGCTGGCTGTGCAGCACCACTGCCCTCTGCTGGAGGGAAATGAGAACTGCTCACCAGCGTGTCACGGGCCCTGTACTGCTCACAGCCAATGGGGACTTTCCCATCGAGACAGTGGGGCTGGGCTTTTGGAGCAGCACGGTCTGAGGTCTAGCCCCACGGTGACAACACAACTGGTAGGGTCCAGGATGCCACATTCGTCACAAGCTAGCGCAGGGCCCGAGCCTGGCCTGGCCCCATACGGGGCCTTAGAGATCCTCAACGTGTGTCTGTTTCTTCTCTTGCAGGTCCCCCCGCCTACTCTGCAGGTACGGCCCTCTCCGTTAGGCTGGAGCAGCACGGTCTGAGGTCTAGCCCCACGGTGACAACACAACTGGTAGGGTCCAGGATGCCACATTCGTCACAAGCTAGCGCAGGGCCCGAGCCTGGCCTGGCCCCATACGGGGCCTTAGAGATCCTCAACGTGTGTCTGTTTCTTCTCTTGCAGGTCCCCCCGCCTACTCTGCAGGTACGGCCCTCTCCGTTAGGCACCGCGGGGTTAGCGGGGCCCGTGTGCTGTCCCTGGGAATGGCTGGGATCCCCCCCGCCCCCGGGGGCCCGTCCCCCGACTGCTCTTAGGCCCTGAAGTGCCCCCTCCCCAAAGGGAGCTCTAACCCTCCGTTTTCCTTCCTCGGGCAGGCGAGATCATCGCCATTGTGTTTGGGACCCTCCTGGGCTGCCTCAGCGCCTTCCTCGCCCTCTACTTTGTGGTGAAGAGAATAAGGTGAGTGGGGGGAGGAGGGGAGGGGCCTGTCCTTGGCTGAGCTGCCTCCGCTTCCTGCCCCACCCAGGGGCTCAGGCCTGGGCTATGCCAGGAGGTCAGATCGAATTCAGCCACATAAGGTCGACTTTTGACACGATGTGCCCCCGAGCCCCTCGGGTCGCTAAGCGGGGAGGAGAGGCGGCTTCAGACCCCTGGCAGGCTCCAGCAGCCTCCGGCAGCTGAGCAGGGCAGAGCCTGGCAAAGCCCCCAGCTGGTGTAATTGGGGGTCACTCCTCTGGAGCCAAAGGGGGCAGATCCCGAGCTGGTGTAATTGGGGGTCACTCCCCTGGGGCCAAAGGGGGCAGATCCCGAGCTGGTGTAATTGGGGGTCACTCCCCTGGGGCCAAAGGGGGCAGATCCCGAGCTGGTGTAATTGGGGGTCACTCCCCTGGGGCCAAAGGGGGCAGATCCCGAGCTGGTGTAATTGGGGGTCACTCCCCTGGGGCCAAAGGGGGCAGATCCCGAGCTGGTGTAATTGGGGGTCACTCCCCTGGGGCCAAAGGGGGCAGATCCCGAGCTGGTGTAATTGGGGGTCACTCCCCTGGGGCCAAAGGGGGCAGATCCCGAGCTGGTGTAATTGGGGGTCACTCCCCTGGGGCCAAAGGGGGCAGATCCCGAGCTGGTGTAATTGGGGGTCACTCCCCTGGGGCCAAAGGGGGCAGATCCCGAGCTGGTGTAATTGGGGGTCACTCCCCTGGGGCCAAAGGGGGCAGATCCCGAGCTGGTGTAATTGGGGGTCACTCCCCTGGGGCCATCCAAGCTGGTGCAGTCAATGCTTGTGATCCCAAACTCTGATCCCCTGAACTGGGGTTTGGGCCGACACTGCCCCCTCCCCCGATTATGAACCAGAGTGGATCACAGCGAGGGCACGACCTAGGGGACCAGCACGCGGTCCCTACCCAACTGGGGTCACTGTGGGAGGAGGGGTGAACAGCTCCGATAAGATTTGGGGGTCAGGATGAGGGTGTGTGGGCAAGAGTCCCTGTAGGGTGGAGGGTCATGTTGGGGGAAGGGGAATGTACTGCCACTGGAGGATTTGGGATAATTATGGGGGGGGTCAAGTTCCCAGCTCCTATGGGACCTGGAGGAGACTATAGGAGAGGGGACACAGCCCCGCTAGGATTTGGGGTCCCTACGGGGGCAGAGACACATGGCCCCAATAGGATTGGGGGTCCCTACGGGGGCAGAGATGCACGGCCCCGCTAGGATTTGGGGTCCCTACGGGGGCAGAGACGCATGGCCCCAATAGGATTGGGGATCCCTACGGGGGCAGAAATGCACGGCCCCACTAGGATTTGGGGTCCCTACGGGGGCAGAGACGCATGGCCCCAATAGGATTGGGGATCCCTACGGGGGCAGAAATGCACGGCCCCACTAGGATTTGGGGTCCCTACGGGGGCAGAGACGCATGGCCCCAATAGGATTGGGGATCCCTACGGGGGCAGAAATGCACGGCCCCACTAGGATTTGGGGTCCCTACGGGGGCAGAGACGCATGGCCCCAATAGGATTGGGGATCCCTACGGGGGCAGAAATGCACGGCCCCACTAGGATTTGGGGTCCCTACGGGGGCAGAGACGCACGGCCCCCGCTAGGATTTGGGGTTCCTTCGGGGACAGAGACGCACGGCCCCGCTAGGATTTGGGCTCACCCTACCATTTCTGCTTGTCTCTTCAGAGCAAAGAGGATCCGGGAGCCGAAGGACGTCGTGTTCAAATCCTCTTCCAGCCGTGCAGTGTCCGGACACACCCATCGCCCCTGAACCCCACAACTTGCCTCTGCTCCCCTGTGGCAGCTACCCCCCCCCCCCCCCCCCCCCGCACCCT